GGCAATATCAGCTAATGTTGGTGATGTAGCTAATGCATTGTTTGCCAAGGATCTAATAACAAAAGGGACTAGAGAATATGTAGTGACAACAATTGGTGTATCTAATGCTGATAAAGCTGATAGAGTAATGACTGATGTGATGGGTCAGTTAGAAGCTTTTCCTGATGAAAGACAGTATTTAGTTGATGTGTGTAATATTTTGATTCAGCAAGGTGCAGCAATGAAAATGATAGGAAATGTTATGCTTAAAGAACTAGGTATGTAGTACACGTACATATATAAGACTATCAATGATAACCTCTTTCTGTTCACAATAGGATCTTGTCCATCCTCCTCCTCCTCCTGCTAGTGATTTATTTTTGGAACTCAGTTGCTTATTTTTTAATTATTATAATGATGCTTTTTTATTCTTTTTCAATTCCTTTGTACGTTACATGTATGCTAACAGTATCTTTTTTGACAGCTGGTTATGTTTTAAATTCTAATTATTATTATAATGTTTTTTACTGTTTTTCAATTCCTTTGTACCTTCAATTTTCCTTTGTACAAACAAATTTTCAATTTGTTTGTACATTATTGTATTTTTGCATAATAAGAAGTGCCACCTAACCACCCACACATACGGGGGCGTGTTCTTGTACACAGAAACAATGGAGGACATACTGCTACTACATGCCGTTAAAGACAGGAATGGATCCAATTATTTGCGTGGGCGCAATCTGCGCATGCGCAGTACTGACTAAATTGTACTTCAATTTATAATGTTCATAACTCAAACAAAAATGTAAAAAAACAGTTCAAACATGAATAAATGCTTGTTTAGCTACACATTTGATTTCAGGTTACTCTGTTGAGTCTACAAGGAATAAGCAATATTAATAATAAATGTAAAAAGTACATGTACTTTGCATTAATGTTTACAAAGAACTTTGTAGCCTATTTTCATCTCTAAAAATAATTTGACAGGAATGTCATTCTACAGATAACGAAAACAAATTTTATACAGCAATAATAGTTTTTACTGACCTGGAAATATACTGGTGTTACATTAAGTAGTGCCAAGGGAAATAAAGAGTTGATAATATATCTAGTCTTGGGGAAATGTTGTCTGTTTAACAGAGATAAGAAGTTAAAAATAAGGCAGTGGCTATTTTTACGGGCCCGTAATCCGACCGTGGGTGGCTATTTTTACAGCAGGATGATTTATCTATGGATTTACTCATTTTAAAACCTGGGAAACACTAAAATAAAAAAAGTAAACCCTAAACCAACCTTGGGGACTCCTAACATAACTAGGGGGCTCATAAAATGACTGGGGACGCTCTAAAAAAAAACCACCACCCTAACCCCTAAACCCTAAAAACAATAGCTAAGTAGGGGACTCCTAACATAACTAGGGCTCCTAACATAATTAGGGAACATAGCGAAGTAGAAAGATTAAAAAAAAATCAATTTGTTAAAGTCAAAATTATAAAAAATAAAAAAAGAAATGGTCTGAGCTGAATTCGAACCAGTGCCTGTCCGTATCCAACCCA